CACACACACACACACACACACACACACACACACACACACACACACACACACACATTTTGGTAGTAGCCTATCTACAAAGCAGGGCTTGTAAATTTTAATTTTTTTGTGTATTTTTTGTCTTTACATGGTTTTATTGTGCAAATTCAGACTACCCAGAGATCATGAATGTAAGTTGTGTTTTTTAAGCTTTTATTAATTTACTTTATTCATCCTGCATTTTTAAAACTTACAGGAACATTTTGTTATATGGTACATTTCCTCAGTTAACACACAATGACAACATTTGCAGACAAAAAATATTTTCATGTATTCTGAGCTCAGTTTTGTATTCCTGCTGTCTTCTTTTGTTCATCTTAAAAATGAATTCTTTTTTTTTATTTCATCTTGTAAATACTTCTACACCTGTTATCATTTTTATTTCCTGGCACCTTGGGAATACTTAATTTTGTTGTACTTGTTACAGTGACAATAAAGGTATTCTGATTTATTCATATTCATTTCTGTTTTCCTGTGTAAACATCCTAACCCATCCTGCGTGTCCCGCTGCTGACAGGCATGTCAAAATATCTCTGCATCAGATTCATTTCAGTGTAGACTTGTAGAGCGGCAGCTCCTGGAGCTGCTCCAGGGTTTACGCCAAGCCAAAGCCAACCAGATGGAGCTTGATACCTCCGTTCCATCTGGGACCCCAAAATGAATGGTTCCGGGTCCGAAGGCTGGAAGCGTCTGCCGGAAAGTGCTCCAAGCCCAGGATGTGTGTCCCATCTGCCAGGAGGATCTGCTGCAGAAAAACTGCCTGTGTCTTACTGCAGGTGTGTCTCATCGACCAGAACATGACCCTGTGTAGGATTCCTGGTCCCGCCCCTGCAGGTCCAGCTGCTGACCCATAATGTTACATGTAATAAAATCATATCAAGACCTCCAGATTGTGACAGGAAGTGACTTTTTATTCCGAGCATTTTGCTGACAGAGTTCCTGCAGTGTCCCCATTCCGTGTCCCTCTCAGGTTCGGCTGTGGTACAAGTGTCCACATCTCCTGGATGAAGGTGAGGGCAGAGCACCAGACTGTGTCAGAGCAGCAGAAGATGGTGAGGTGCCCTCTGTGCAGGGAGGACTTTAGCTCTGTATAGTTGCTCCAGGAGCAGGTGAAGAACTCTGCGAAGCTCTTCACTGCTGCCGAAAGAGAAAAACTCAACAAACACATGGCAGCTGTTTGCCACAGCTGCTGGGTCTGCCCAACCTCTTGTACCTGTTTCAGGTAAGACCCCAGGAAACCCCGTTTGTTGTAGATGTTGCTACACAGAACACATGCAGCGGCTGTGGTAGAGTGGTTAGGGGAGTCATCCCGTAACTGGTAGATTGCCGGTTTGATCCCCCATTCCAGCTGTCTCAGTTGTTGTGTTTTTGGGCAAGAAATTTCACCCGCATTGCCTACTGATGGTGGTCAGAGGGTCCAATGCCATTGATGCATGGCAGCCCCACCTCAGTCAGTCTGCGGCTACAATGTAGCTTACCACCATCAGTGTGTGAATCTCCTGTGATAGCCATTTGGAGCTGTCTAAATGCTTGCTGGTTCAAAGCACCACTTATTGTAGTTACGTATCTCTTTCCTGGAGCTCAGATTGCAGCCGAGCTCCTGCCCCAAAGAGCACACCTCCCCCGAAGCATTGTTGTGAAAACGTGCTGAAGTGGGAGTGTCAGAAACAGTAGTAGATTCTTACAGGGACAGAAGCCAATTTCAAGACATTTAGATGCAATTTATTTTATCTATATACAGCATTTTAATAACAACTGAAGGTAACATACAATTGAAGTGCTGTATGTGTATGGAAAATACATAACCCCCCCCCCCCCCAAATAACCAATAGTAACAAAGAAATGCATAGAACATACATTAGCAATGCAAATCTATGTGAATAAAAATAAACAGCTGATTAAAAGAATCTAAAGTACTGTATGTCTTTATTTTTTAGTCTGGAAAAGTTCCCATTTGTTTACATGGAAGGGCAGGGGTTAACTTTGTACTGGATCCAGCCACAAGAGGGCGCTTGTCCTGTGTGGCTGAATAGTGGGCACTGCCTATCTGTGACACAACTGAATAGCAAAAATGGTGAGTATACAGGGGGTTGGCTCATTACGGAAGCCGAGAGTGGCTGTTTTCAGCATATCATTTTTTCCTATGTTAAATAACGATAAAATAAAATGGTAAAACAAATAACTGTTCTCAAGATAATGAGTTAATTATGTCATTATGAAATAACGAGGACCGTTTTCTCAAGATGAGTTAATTTCCAGATGGTTTTCTTGTGAATCATTCAGTAACAATGGCTGTGGAGTTAATCAGTCCTAGTGGGGTCCTCAGGCATGGTCCCCGGTAAGATTTTTTAAAAAATCTACTCAAAATTATGCATTTTCCAGTCATTTGAAGAGCATTTTACTAAATCGACTGGATTAATAAAATAATCTAAAACCAGTTTATTATCAAGGTAAAATTGTCTTCCTGAGCTGTACCTGAAAATCATATTCAGAAACTGCAGTATATTTATTTTTTTACCTGACCGTTACATTATGGGTCAGAGTTTTGCTGTTTTAGTTCAGTATTCATGAAGTGAGCCTATCACAGTTACTGTACAAATCACCTTTCTGTTCACAGGTAAAGAAACAGACCAATTTAATATACCAATACATAAAGTGGGCACAACATAGGCTAAATAAATTTGTCCTTTCTAACCACAGTCTAATAAACATAATGTGGCCTAACTTTTAGGAAAAAAATCAACTTCAATTAAATTGTAACAGTGATTACTCCTAGCCCAGCTAAAGCAAGGTGATCCTCCATCATGTTTATTAATAACTTGAAATATATATTTAAAGTCCCACAGCGGGCTAAGAGGTGTACTGAAATGTTAACCTGGTGTGGCTACAGTTCAGAGACAAACATGCAGTATAGGGAAGTGGCTGCAGCTTAAACCAACAGTCAGCTTCATGAAAACAACAATATTCCTCCATTAAAAACTGGTTTCTTTCTAACATAACAGTCTCTACAAGTTTTACTCTTCCTCTCATTATATTTCTAAACTCCTTCCAAACAATCCATACAGCTGAATGTGTGTTCTGTTAGGGCTGGGTATTGTTAAAAACCTCACAATTTAATTCAATTATAATTCTTTGGATCACAATTCGATTATATTTTGGTACAATTTCAATTTCATTCAATATTTGTTTGAATGACTGGATATCAATTTCCTAATAATAAGTACACAAATAATTCTTTAGAGTCCCTGTGGATCATTTTTAAATGTTTTTTTCTTGCTATATAAACAGAAATGGTATACATGAACATTTTAGATAAACAAAATGATCTGCAAATAAAGCAGTAGAACAATGTTCTAAATACTGACTGAAAACAAAACCTGACAAACTCAAGGTATAAAGCCTGAAACTTTTTTGTGGTGGTGATAAGAATGAATTCATAACATACTCTTGCCAATTTGTAAGAATCTGTGCAAAATCCCACACTTTAAATGACACAGAATGAATGGGGCTGTTGGGTATTAGCTTCTACATCAGAGACTGAGGCAAATTAACTGTAGGCCTATGCAGTAAATATGTATTTCAACAGTCTCCTTACAGAGCTCCAAAGTTTGTGGGTTCATTTTGTGGTTAGCTCGTTTTTTTAACTCAACACAAACATTCAAGCAACTCTGTGTAAAACTGAAAATTGTCGATTTTCGTGTGAGAATCTGAAAATAATCTTAGGGTGAAAACTTTTCTTTTAGGAGGAGATGCCAAACATAAACGTAGACACACCTTGGCTGTTTTGGTCGTACAAATGTATGTCTTTCTGTGTTAACAGTTTTATTCAAGGACTAGAGTCCCCAATAAATATTTCAAGCTCCTAATAAACATGATAGATGATGAATTAAGCTGCAGTAAGGCCTGCCTCCACTCAGACGGAGAAAGTTTATTGTGTGCGCTGACACCATTATTATGGTAATAAGGCTTGCAAGTCAATTTCAAAATAAAAGCTTCCATGTTGTAAGCCCATAAAAAATAAAAACAATATATTTAACAAACCCTAGATTGCTGTCAACATTGCAACAAAACTGTTCACTTACCAAGTGCCAGCAGCATCTGATTCTGCATTTCAAAATAAAAGCACTACAAACTTTGATTACTCACATACAGTATATTGTCACCATAACTCGCTTGTCTTTATTGCAAAAAACTGTTAGTTTCCAGGGAACAGTATCATTTCAAGGTGACTCTACTCCTGATGTGAGCCTGTTCTCTGGAATCTGAAAAAAAATCCAAGGGTGCCAAAACTTTTTATAGGCACTGAACATACAGCCTCTTCAAGATAAGCTGCTAATTGTAACTGTTAATAAAAATATTTCTATTCAAACTTTTTTGGCAGATGATTTTACGGTGACATAATTACCCAACAAAACTAAAAGGAAAAAAAGACCTACCATAAAGTAAATAATCAACTGATGTACAAATGCAGCAGGTGTACTGACATAGAAACTGTTATTACAGTCATCAAATAAATAAACAATTTGTATTTATGCTCAGTATTATCTTTCATTAGGCTGTGTAGACCAGGTCATGTTCTCTTGTTGAATGTCTAATGTGTGTTTTGGAATTAATGCTGCTTTCTGTGTATGATTACAGCAGGTTACTGCATTAGTGGTCAAACTCCTCCTTTGCAGCTTGTCATCACTTCTAGATGCTTCAGACTGGCTGTCAGATCCAGCCACTGCAGGTGCTGACCGTGTTCCCTCCCCTTAAGCATCTGATTTTACATGACATGTTTACGTTTTTTACTCAGTAATGAGTAGGGTTTTAAATACAACTAAGTACAGTGCTATAAATGAATCATGTGAACATACAGATCGTATTAATTACTTAAAAAGGTACAACACAAAATATTAACCTCTGCATGATACACAAAACCCTAGAACTGAGCCTTGTTCCCACGAGAATGATTCAAATGAACATTATGTTGAGTGAAACCTCATCTGACTCATTTACAGTCCCTTTTTGTGTACAAACGCTTCAATTCTACATGGACTGTGTGGACCAGATCTCCTTGCATACAAGCTGCTCTCCTTTAGATGGATTTATTTACAGGGCCTTGCGAAAGTATTCGGCCCCCTTGAACTTTACAACCTTTAGCCACATTACAGGCTTCAAACATAAAGATATAGTAGCTTTGCTTGACTTACCTAGAGGAATTTGGTAAAAGGAACAAGGTTCTCCGCTGTCTTTTACTCAGTCACCGGAAGTCCCCCCCGCGCGCTTCCGGCAGAGGCGCGAAAAACGCGTGTGCGCATGCATGATGATGTACTTTGGTCAAAGGTCAAATTGACCTTTTGCCTCTGTTCGTTTGGGCAGCCTGCCTGGCTTAGGGGTCAGAGCGTCTGGTTCATTGTTCCCCAACGTATCACCGCCAGGCGGGTTCTCGGTGTTGACTCCACCGAGGCCCGAAAAAAAAGAGATTGTAGTCAGAAGTAAACCATTCTGAGGGGTTAGCCGTCAGAATGGTTTCACTTTTGCGCATCAACACTATTTCCTCTTTCTGCTTTATATTTAATACAAGGATCAAAGGGAAGATTAAAAGGCACAGTGTGTAGGATTTGTTGTTTTCAGCGACATCTAGTGGTTGAATGGTTGAATCATCCTCCAGGTGGGTTATGCCGATTGATAATCGGAATGAGGTTCATGTAAACACTTAATCTGATCATCTTATTCTGATTGTAGAAAACTGACCTGTGTGCGCATGTCTGCTGACTTTCATTCACCTGGTGGGACGAGGCAAACAGCAGACGTTGCTTAGCAAAAAATAAAAATAAAAAGCACGTATTGCTTCATCTGCAGGCTGCAGCTCAACCGAGGAGATGAGTAACGACATCTCTACAGTTATTAAAAGCTGACACGGGTCCGTCCTGAGCGCACAGAGGAGCTTTGTTTACGTTTGTAACACGGAAGTAGAGCTGAACTTTTACAACACTGCGCATGTCCGGACTTTTGTTCTGAATAAAAGTCTGATGCATGTAAACACTTTTCATGATCGGATTGTGTCCATGTAAACAGTACATTTGGATTATTTAATCTGAATACATTTCAATCAGATTAAAAGATTTTGAGCATGTAAACATAGCAGACAACAAATATTACATTTATAGTATTACAACTAAAACCGTTTTTGACGCCGCCACCGCAGTTTGTCCTTCATGAGCCTTCGTAGACAAGATGGCGGCTGCCTGTGTGGCAACCCGCGACCATGGAGATATAAACAGCTTTTTGTAAGGTAAAAATAATAAAACAAGGTCTTTGTCTGCTATGATTAGATGTTTTTTATTATTGTTATTAGTGATTATCTCAATTTCGGCTAAAAGAATTGACAAAATCCTACACACTGTGCCTTTAAATCATAAACTTATCCTCCCGCAGTCCACAGGGGTCCATGTGACCCTCCTGAGATATGATTATATATATATATATATA